TTTTCGATTCGATAGAGCAGCGCTGGAAAGTGATGGAATGTGACGGTGTCCCAGAGAAAATCTTCGACTCATAAAGGCATTTTATGAGCGCACATCGGCGCAGGTCTGTATACATGGGGAGCTAACAGATTCCTTCGAAATAGGAACTGGTGTCCGTCAGAGCTGCGTCCTTTTCCCCACAATATTCAACTATGCGACAGAATGGATAATGGGCATAGTTTGAAAATATTGAAAACGAAAATATTTTCGTTTTATACACAAGATGCTGATAAAATACCTATTTTTATCAATTCATTGCCGGTTGAGGAAATGCCGCACTTTAAATACCTTGGATCCACTCTAATCCCAAATGGTCAGGCAAAGGATGAAATCGTAAAAAAAAGCAGATGGAATTATGTTTTTTTGGTTGATGAAACCTTTATGGAACCGTCGCGAAATCACCATAAAGACGAAAATCCGCGTCCATATAGCTGCATTTCGTTCGATCTTGCTTAAATAGCTGCGAAACATGTGAGTTCAAGATATTAAGAAGCTTTGACCACTAATGATTAAGACACATTCTACGAGCACATAAAATCGCACATGATTGTCCACCTTTGTTCAAATACCACCTGCATTAATAATGTTATCCAGAGGGTCGCCTTCGCTGGTTAGGACACATTTTCCATTGTCCACCACAGGAGTTGAAGCATATTTTATTATTTGCTAAACCCTGTGATGGTTGGCGTCAAAAGCGAGGAGGACCAATCAAGACCTGGACTGATACAGTCAGGAAAGATTTTGAACGTATAGGGGACCAGGGATATATGGACTTAGACGATGGAAAAAGGAATGACTTCTATTACTACTAGCGATGACGTCGGACCGGCTTGGAGATGTCTTACTCTTGTAGCCAGCCTAACCAGTAATGGTGAGAGCTATTAGAAGAAGAAGAAGAAGAAGAATAAATAAACCAGTGAGAATATGTGCTAAATTTATAAGAGGAAATCTATAAGAGGTGACTTTGACAAAACATTGGTCCAAAACATTATTCTTAGCCAACGGAGTGAATCTAGCCACAAATGGTGAGTACTTTTAGCAAAATCACTAATTTTCATGCAATCACTTACGCTTTTATCATTTGTAATCCTTAGATGATTCTCAGATGGATTTTCTAAAGGTTGTTCATCAATTACGCTGATTTTAGATGGTACTTCACTATTGGCTTCTTTTACACAATCATACCAATAAGCTTGAGAAAGGGGAGTTCTCCGCGGTGCAGTCGTTTTAATTTCAACACCATATTTAGCGCCTTGTTTTCTGACACTCTGAAAAATACATGAATTTTTTCGCAATAAAATCACGGCCATTTCCACTATTAATGGGAACCTTATTAATAGAAATAAGATATGAAAATTTCCTCTTCAATATAGCATACCTTATAAAAACCGTACCTTCCTCTTGTTGAAATAAATTGGAAGTTCGAAACCTGAGGACGAGGAATTTCTAAAGGTCGTAAATTAATAAGAGTATCACGAATTGTTGACATCGGAGTCTCCATTTATTTCGAAGATTGTATTAGTTAAGCAGAGTAACTAAAAATTCAGGATTTTTGATATGAAAATTTCTCATTGTTCGAATAAATATTATATTTTTGCACAAAAAAAGAAATTGTTTTAAAAACATCACAAATGAATTTTTAAAAAAATACAGAAAGATTAAATCGAATGAAACAAGGCAAGAACTAGTTAGTTGAGATGAAAAAATCCATCTAAGCTCACCAAAAGTTCATAAGGTGCAAGGTGCAATAAATAATTATCGATAAAACTAAAGCAAAACTGATGAAATATGCAAATAGGTGCGGTATAAATTTTGATATCCCGAATCGTAGAGAATTTATGAAATATTCTGAAATGGAAAACGAGTTTTTTAAATTCATCGGAATTCCCATAAGATGATGTTTAACTATCGCATCGTTAAAGAATTTCAAAAACATTAATATGTTATATGAATCCTTTTTTAAGACCGATTCAAATTTTCTGCCTAAGTTCGCTTCGCTGGCTTGCAGGATCAGACAAATTTGCTGGAGAATTGTTTAGGTATAGAATTATAAAGTTAGTCACTAGCAACATTCTTACTTTCGAAAGGTTGCTACAAATTTTCCTGCCGAGATTGGAACCCCGCATCGGCGCCCCGAAAGTGACTAATAACCCACTGAGCCATTTTACTCCTTAATAGCACTGCAAAAGTATATATAGGAAGAAAAATTGAAAAAAAATTTTTGGCAGATTCATGAAACTGGAACAAATTCATAAAATAGTAAACAGTGAAAAAACATAGAACCATTTTTTAAAATTAAATTTCATATGAAATTAAAATTCATCTAATTCAATAAAGTTTTTTCCCAAAAAGGGCTCATTATCTCTGGTTAGTCACTAGCAAATAAATTTTACCAGATAGCCCTCACACAGATTTCTGAAAGACTTACAGGCTTACAGCTGCTGCGAGCAGAAGCTCAGGCTCGGCGCTCGGAAGTGAGATAAACAAACGCAAGGCTAAAACGGCTTGACCTACAGACAATATAACCCCAACAAAAAACAAGCACCCAATTCAAAAAACAAAACAAAAAGACACAGCCAAAAATCATACACGAACAAAAATTACTAACAGCTTAACTTTAATCCGTAAAAAAACATAACTAACCCAAAATATTATACATCATTAGCAAAAAAGGAACACACAAACTCAAACTAAAAACCTCAAAACAAAAAAAGAAAAGCCCATTGAACCACAACTAATCACATAAACAGAATAATAATTCCACCATTCTTTTTTATTTTTATTGCTTTTTTCTTTTTAAATTGCTGAAATTGAATCGATCGAATGAAATTTTAGGTTATTCGTATGGCAGGGAAAATAGAAGAGCAACAAAGTGAGTTGTACGATTCGAACAAAAGAAAATGAAAAATGATAAGTTGGAAAAAACGACTTAGTAGGTACTATCAACAATTATGCTCGATAAGCTGGTTGGAACGCGAAATTCTCAAGTCATTGTGTTAAAATAAAGATGGGAATTACAGGATGTGAAAAAACTCGTTAGATTTGTGGTGAAGGAAAATTTTTTTTGTCCTTACCTTCTTGCGAAAAATAAAAAAACAGTGAAGGCTTAACAAACTTGAACCACAGAAAAAGTGCAGCGAGCGAGTCGAGCATATTACGTTTCGATTTATGTTAGAGACCCATCTCTTTAAGTGGCTCTCTCGCATTATAAATTATAGGTTCATTTATTTAAGGAATGGTGAAAGAAATAGACGAATGGATGAAATCTCTCTTTTCAAGTGAACAGCAAAATTAGAGTTGTTCATTATTTATCCATTTGGAATAATGAATGAAATTATCCAGGAATTTCTTTAAAAAGTGCAAAAATTAAAACTAATGGAGTGATTAAAATGCAATTTACGTAATTAATTTGAATAATAAGGCCTAAGCCATAGGCCTAAAGCTGTATGCTTTAATAGCTTCATATTAAAAGTATCATTCATAACATGCAGAGCCTATATATATAATATATATATATATAACGAAAAGGATGGAGAGCTATGCCATGAGCTTTATGTTAAAGATTACCATGTAGAACCTATGCCATGGGCTTGGTGCTAATAGAAAACACAAAGAAATAGTAACAGAAATGAGAAAAGTAAAATGGAATGAAATATTTATAAAGGACGAGAATCGTTTAAATTAATTTATAGACAATTCATTGAATTTATTCTTAAAATTCCTATTCTTAAACGCACAGCGCGAACAGTAATCACCTTAGGCGATAATATATTCCATTAATTTATACGACGAATAAAAAATTTTTGATCTCAATTGCGATCTCAATTTTTCAGTTGCAACTCGTCGCTTTGCTTAATTTTAGTTTATCGCTTCTTATAGCATTCGAATTTAAAGCTAAACTGTGATAAATTAGTGCAGTCGAAATTCACCAATTAATATTTCGCAGGAGAAAATCAGATCCTTTTTATTGAATCCTTCTAATTTTTCATAGGTTTATTTATATAATTAATTGATGGATGAGAATTTAAACCACATAAAATGTATTCCTTATATATTTACGGACGGTTAACTAATATGTTTGATAAATCGAAGGATAAAATTTTTCTCTTTTTTATGATTTCTATTATAATTGCCGTCTAAAATTGCCGTTTTTTTCGTGATTCTTTGATTTATTCTTTCAATTCAACTATTTCTTTGAATAAAGAAACCAAAATATCCTTGAAATACAAGTTCAAATCTCAATTTTAATAATTTAAAAAAATAAGAAAAAATATGAAAATTTATAAAATCATAGCTAATAACAACAAATATTAATAATAATGAAAATAAAAAACCATATCAAATTGCCAATTGATTGAAAATGATTGAAACATCCGTTATACTGGCAATTAAAATAATAATTGAGAACAATAATATTAGTGAATGAGGAAAAAAGAAAGAGAGGAATGAAGGAAGGAAGATAGGTATCAATGACAAAAAAGGACCAATGTCGCGACGAAATTTACACAAATACTTATTTCACATGACAAGTAATTCCGTTAAGAGAATTTTAAAAAAATGTTGCTTTTAGAAATGTTGCTTTACACCATATGATTACTATTACTATTATTTACTATTATAATTAATAATAATATAATTAATAATAATATTAATATTAATATACAATAATATTATAATATTAATAGTAATGATAGCAGTAATAATAATTTTAAATAATAAATAATAATAACAAAAGATATAGGCGCCTTAAGATCAAATTAACCATACATTTTAAATTATAGTGGCATCCCTTAGTAATATTCGGAAATTCTTTTTTTCTAAAGGCACCTATTACTTGTTAGGCTAATTCAGCTGGCTTACCAGATCAGAAATAATCTGTCTAGATTTTACCAGCGAGTAATTTTGCGATAGAATATATAGATAAGTCGCTAACCATTTTTGAAAAGTAGGATTACTCCTACTGAGAGAGTGGAATCCCAACAATGGCACTCCGAAACGAGAGAAACAACTCATTGAGCCATTCTATTTTGCTATTCGTTCAGGCGGTTTAGACTATTCAGATTATTGTCTATTTGGCGAAATATTTATTTAGCAACAAACAAAAGCTTAGATCTCGCAAAAGAAATTTTTAAAAAGTCAAAAAAATCAATGCTGAATTCCAGATCGAACTGGCGTTCTGACTCACCTCCATAAATACATTATTATCAAATATTTGCTCAGAGCGAAGATAAATAAAAGGCGAAGTAATTGAAACGTGAGAAATGAATACTGTGGGATGTAAAAAGTTACAGAGGATTATATTTTGGCTTGGCTCAGCTAAAGGTGATATAAAGGAGTCTATTAAATCAGATATGTTTAGCATGATAATCTCTTAGATCGCAGATATATGAAATGCAGGCTTCTCGACTTTAGTACCTAATTTTTTTTCAATCGTGGTTCTAGGTAAACATTGGAAATTTTGTCTGTATTATCAACAAGTTAGACCCATTCTGCAGGCAAATAGAATTGTTTAATAGAATAGTTTTAAGTCTCTGAATATCCTCTGATATAACCTCAAAATCTTTTGAACCTTGACATACTGTTTTTAACACCTTTAATTGTACACCATCCTCTAATTTTCTTCATACTTCATTGAAACACCCTTTATTATGATACTATATTGTGTAACTGTGTAATTCTGGCTAGGATACAACAATGATGGAAGGGGTTAAGAAAAAAAAGGGGGAGTATTAAGAGGTTAAAGCTAAAATTGGATAGAAAGTGGTGTTTAAAATATCACTGATAAACTATATCACTGAAAAAGAATATAGTTTTAAAATAGTTTTCTAAAAATAGTTTTTTGAAGATATTAAAGGGATATTTAGAAAGATCTGGCAAGACTTTTAACAAAACATGGCAGTTTTTAGGGGATATCGAAGGATTATAATATGGCATACTAAAATTTCAAAAACGAGTTTTTAATGAGTATCTGTGAAATAGAAAAACATAACGGGCTTCCGATGGGGGGTAGAATAACTCAGTGGGTTGTTGCTTAATTCGGAAATTCTATTCTCCATAGGAATAAATCTGAATGATGCTAGTGGTTCACCTGTATTTCTGTCGCCAATGACTCTGCACATTTGTCTTGTACGACAAGCTAGCGGAACGGGTCTAATCAGTAATGGTGAGGGCTCTTAAAAAAAAAGAGCTTCTTATACTATATGTTAGGCCATCCCAGGAAGTCATAGTTACCTGTTATGAAGGAATTTAAGGAAATTTTATTATCTACTACTAAAAGAACGCATTCGATAAGGGACTAAGGGGATTTTAGAGGCGTGAAAGGTTCGAAAGAACTTGTCAACCAAACTATAATTTATACAAGAGCTTAAACTATACAAGAACTTTGACTGTTAGGGAACTTTAGCTCTGTTCTGAGGAATGTTAACGAATTTAAGTTTCGAAAGTGTTACGAAGATAAAGCGAAGTTTGAAATGTTACACTGAAAAGTATATTACCAACTAC